CCCAGATGGGACTTATAAGCCCTCCTTTTACTTCTGGGCCAGAGGAACCAGGAGCATCCTAACCAGATAAACCCCACAGTGGCCACTGTCTCCACTCTGAGCTCCCTCTGGATGGTGGAGCGCCACCATCCAGGACTTATGACTTTTTCCACTCAGAACTGAGGACTCGTTTTTATTAAACTGACCTCTAATTCTGGAAAAAAGAGAAATTATACATCAGTGAGCTAGCCGTGTGGCAGAAAAAGGAGAAAAACTAAATATTTAGTTTTTTGTTTCCTACACGAACCAAAAACAGCCAAATCTCTGAGCTGTTTCTGAGCTGAGAGGAGAAATTAGTTTAAGTTTTGATCCACACAGACACCCAGAGTGGATTTAAAGCACAGACAGAGCACAACTGGAAGAGGAATGAATGAAGATATGAGTGTTTTTAAAGGGGTTCGGGATCATTTGTCCCACCGGCTGGTCACATGATGCTGCTCCGGGTGGTTAAAGGGAGCAAACAAAAACACATCTCGTGTGCCGCTGATCTGAACTGTAAACAGCCAATCAGAGGGCAGAGCTGCGAGGGCAGGCAGCCGGCTCGGCATAAACAGCCATTAGAGGCCCAGCGGGCGGGAAGGTTTAGGAAGATCAGAGCAGACTCCAAATAAAGGATTTCAGTTCACAAATGACTGGCATTAAACTTCAGGCTCCAGAAACAAACACAGACTGGTGTCGAACCACAGAAGTTTGAGGTGGATTTATGTGGATTAAGACCCCGGTGGAAGGCGGGGCCTCTGATCCCGACAGAGCCCCTGAATCCAGATTGATCCACTGGATCCCAGCGGAAACAAGCAAAAACTTCAGAGGTGAAAGCCTTGCTCCATTTCTGAGGGATCAGGAACGCAAACTCAGACACTTTCAGGTCATTTTGGCCAAATATTTGAGCCGTTTGGCTGAAATTTTCCTTTGGTTTAAAAGTGGACGAGTCACAAATCTCCACAGATGCTTTAAAACAAGGCTGCAAATGGGCCAGAAATGACGAAATGTGGATGGAAATGCTTAACCAGAGGCTGTTTTTCTGTTTTTGAGCAGATATGAAACCGTCTTTGGACTCTCTCTGACACCCCAAAGATGGAAATAACCCTTTTTAGATCAGGTACTTAAAGAATTACTAAACATTCCTTCTGTTGTCTGTTGTTACGACTGGAGTCAGAAGGTGTTTTCTTTGGGGTTTTTATGAGTGTGCGGGTTGAATTATTATTTTATTAGGTAAGAGTTGTGTGTGGAGATAGCTCCCTCCGTTTGTTGTTTTACTCCTTGGTTCAATGAAGACAAAGTGTCTCCTCCTTTTGTAAGCGGATTTGAATAAATCAGCCGAGTGCCGGCTGGACTTTACGGTTGTTGTAGCTATTTGGGATTTGTGGAGCTTTCACTAGACGGGTCGTAAAGCCTGTGTGATCCAGTGGACGAAAACTAAAGACAAAAATGTGTTTTTTCCCCTTTTCTGTCTTCGCCTTTTGTTCCCTCTGCTGTAGAAACAGTTTCTGGGAGCTTTTGTCCAGATGCTTCTGAAAAGGTGAAGTTCCCCCCTGCTGGAGGGTTTCAGGGACTCCTGTAGAAGGGCTTTAACGCTCCTCCTTTGGGTTTTATTCCAGCTAAGAAAACCACTTCTGATCACCAGTAACGCTGCTTCCACTCCACAGAGTCCAGTTCGGTCTTTTTAGAGCCAAACCCCAGGAAACCAGTGGACCCAGGCGGGTCTGGTGACGGGTTTTGTGGGTAAACTGGGCCCTTCCTGGACCCGTGCTGCCCCCCAATCAGGGCACCGCGGACCGGAGCCCTGTGACCTCTGACCTCTGCGCTGGCAGGCCATCAGAAGAAGCTCCATCTCCTTTAGAGGGAACGCTTTGAGTTCTGGGCTGAACGGGCGGCCAATGTGTGGATTCCAGCCCTTTTCCTGAACATCACCCTCTAATAAAGGCCAACAAAACCCCAAAATCAGAGTCAGAGACGGCGAGGCCTCTGCGGCTGCCGGAAAACAGAAAACAGAAAGCTGACCTACTTCAGAACAAACAGCCAGGAGTTAATTGGACCTCTGCCGCAAGAATTTGACAGAGTGATGGCAACTGTTGGGGCCCCCCCCCCCCATCCGTCCAGAGCAAACCGGCCCCTGCCCTCAGCTCTGGTGTGAGCTGAGCGGAGGGGCTCCCGGCGGCCTAAACGCCGGCGCTCTGGCAGGTTTGTCAGTTTGGTGTCGACCCGCCGAGCCCCCGGCCTGAATGGAGCTAAAGCTCACTATTGGCTCAGAGGGGAAGAGGTCGTGTTTGGGCTGGAGGGGGGGGGGTGCTGGAATGGACACAGAAATGTTCATGGACGGGTTTGTGGTTGGACTACAGCCGCTAACGGGCAGAAATCCAAACGATAAGGCCGCTGTGTTCCAGCAGACAGAGCCGGGAACCAGCCGGAGCTTTTTCAGCTTTCCGCACTATAAGGCTCCTAGAAGCCTTCAATTTTCTCAAAAACCGCCTTATAATCTGGTAACATGGAGATAACATGTTGGACCAGTCTCTGTGCTGAAGCTGCTTGGTGCTCAGTCAGGGTTCAAACCCTGGTTGGAGGGGCAGGACTGGTCCACCAGGGGGCTCCGGCCGGTTTCTGGGGTCAGACCCGCTGAGATGGATCCAAACCGGCACACAGAACAGGCCTATGGTGTCCGGACGAGCTGCTCGTCCGTTAAACTCCAGCTATCATCAGCCGGAACAGAAATCAGTGGAGCCTGAATGTGCGACGACCGTTTCATGGGTCAGCGATTTGCCCCTTTGATGACCCACAGCAGCAGAAACAGTTGTTCTTTGAAAAATAACACGTTAAAGAAAAACACCGACTTCTTTCTTATTTTCAATGAATTTGTGAGGGAAATCAATCAATCAGTTATAACCAATGTCCTCACCTCTCTGGTGACTGATTAATATTTGAAATGTTCTTTTTCTTTCTCATGGGACTCTTTCCTCCGTCTAGGTCTCAGAGAAGCTCTCCTTATACTTCATCTCTTCATGCTTTGGCTTGAGGACTGTTACAGAAGCAGGTTCCTCTCATCTCAGACTCAGAGAGGCTATAAAATGTACTATTTTGTTTTGCTTCAGAGCAGCTCGGTGCGTCCTATGAACCACTTGGTTTCTCTCACTTCAGGAAATTTTCCCTTTTAATACATTTCTATTTCTCACTTCCTCAGTCGGACTCAGGCTTTTGCTTCAAATAGGATTTCCACGACCCATTAAAACGCAGTGTGTTGTTCCCAGTGTGGACACAGAGCTTTAATGTGTGTGTTGTCGGGCTGAGTGTGAGTCTGAGTGTGAGTTTTGTTACCTTTGCCGATCTCCACGAAGCCGATGATGATGATGAGCCCCAGCGCCAGGAGCTTGGCGGCGGCGAAGAAGTCCTGGACCCTGGTGGCCGCCTTCACGCTGTAGCAGTTCACGAAGGTCAGCAGCACTGGAAAACAGACAGAGCAGAGGGCCTTACTGCCTCCCCCCTGCAAACGGCCCCCTGGGGGGGGGCTCACTGTGCACCCGTGAGCAGAGGACAGGCTCAGGCGTCTTTAAGGCTGGGCTGTTTGTGCGGTGGCGTTTGGTGGCTTTTGTGAAGACACTCTGACCAAAATCCTGCATATCTGTGTCCCTGAGGGAGGCTGGGAGCCACAGAAGAATTCAGAGAGATGGAAAAGAAATTCCTGGGGGAATAAAATCCTCCCCGCTGCTCCCCCTCCTTTCCATGCCGGAGCACACGTCCACGGCTGGTGCTCGCACACAAACGCACACCGACGGCGCCCCGGTGGGGCCCGCGAACCCTGCGGCCCATTAAAAGTGATTAACTAAAGCAGCAGGTCCCCTTCAAAGCTCCTAAATCAGGTCGGTGCCACAACAGACAGGCGAGGAGGCACAAAGAGCCTCTGAGTCCCAGACAAAGGGAGAGAGGCCTCGTACAGTAGGGAGCTACACACTCTGTCCTGGCAGACACACAACGGCCCCATAACGCGCACTGAGCTGAACCCCAAAAGGCCCCGAAGGAGGAGGCTAAATAACCCGCTCAAAAAACTATCGGGAGGGTGGATTCTCACAGAAATGGGCCTGTGGGATCACATCTTTTACCACGTGGTGTCAGTCAGGATTTAGCCTCCAGTCAGTCTGAGTCTGGAGATTAGGAGCCCAGAGCTGCCCCTACAAAGTCAGGAGCACTAACGCAAGGACGGGGAGTGTGTGTGTGTGTGTGTGTGAGCTGTGTGTGTGTCTGCATCAGGTGCAGCCCGGCCGGCACTAACTGGCCCGGGCAGCCTGTAATCCACCTAATCTGGTTATGGGTCGAGGCAGGAGGACGCCGGGCTTCAGATTAGACTCACATCACACATTTCTGCCACCGCAGTGAACTTCTGCCATGTTTTCATAGGAAACAGTTTCAACACTTAACAAAAATCCGCCCCAGAAGCCTTTTCAGCTCATTTTTAGCTTTGGAATAAAAGGATAATTACATAGTCAAAACACAAAATGAGCCCAAATGAGGCAAATTTATAATCAAATTTGAAGTTTTGAAGTTTGTTTGGACGTCTCAATTTCCTCTGAAGCCCCACAATGGCGTAACTTAGACCCAAAAAAGGCCGATCAAAGTGGAGTGTTTCCGCTGAACGTGCGCCCGCCGGCAGACACGCGCTCATGAGGAAGTGCGTGCCACGCTGATGTAACCGCGCGGCTTTTTTCGCCATTATTATGTTTGAGGCTGCGCGCGTGGACACGATGTTCTTACTTCATCGCGCGCGGGGGGGGGAGTGATGGTGGCAGCCCGCGTGCTCCTGTGTGTGAACTGGGACTGGGGTCTGGGGGGGATGGGGATGGGGATGGAGGGGGGTGATTTTCACCCCGCAGGTGTGTTTGCGGGACAGGTACACGCAGCTCCGGGCGGAGGTTGCGTCACCCCGGCCCGGCTCAGCCCGGCTCGGCCCGGCTCGGCTCGGATACTCACGGATGCAGAGGCAGGCCACCAGCTTGGCCGCGGTCTCCGGCACCGGGCAGACCGGGAACAGGGGCTTGAGCACGTAGGTGGCGAAGACGTAGGCCACGATGTACTGCGAGGACGGCCGGATGATGAGCAGCTCGATCCACAGCTTGAGGAAGGCCGGCAGGGAGCCGTACACCTCCAGGATGTAGGCGTAGTCCCCCCCGGACTTGCTGATGGTGGTGCCCAGCTCCGCGTAGCAGAGCGCCCCCACCGTGGAGAAGACCCCGCACACCGCCCACACGATCAGGGACAGGCCCACGGAGCCGGACATCTCCACCACGCCGGTCGGCGTGACGAAGATGCCCGACCCGATGATGGTGCCCACGATGATGGCCACGCCGTTGACCAGGGTGATGGTCCTCTTCAGGGCCACCGCATCCTTCCCCCCCCCCTCCGCGGCCGGGGCGCTGCCCCCGGGGCTCCCGGCGTCCCCGCCCGGCGTCCCGGCGGGGCTGGAGCCCGCGGACAGCATCCTCTCCGTGACCTGCGTGTCCTCCTCCCGGTCCGCCGAGGAGCCGGAGCCCCTCTTCTTCAGCCCAGACATCGCTGCTCGAGCCTTTTCCTCCTCCTCCTCTTCTTCCTCCGTCTTCTTCTTCTTCTTCCCCGCCGTGTGGTGGCCTCTCTGCGTCCGCCTGCGCTGATGCTCCGGCCGGGCTCCGCCACGAGGCTCCGCGTGGTGCGAGTGAGGGTGTGAGTCAGGGCGGCGTGGCTCTCTTCCTTTCTCTCACAAACCGGCGAGGAGGCCGTGTTAATCGGCGCGACGTCCCTCTTTCGTCAGGGACTGCCCCCCCGAGTTTATAAACCGGGGATGAAGCGGGGAGCGCCGCGCTCTCTGCCGCCCTCTGGTGGCGGAGCTGCGGTACTGCAGGCCTCCGCTGCTGCGGGTCCTCACGGAGGTTTTTCCTGTTAATCTGAGACCAGTTGGACCAGTTTTTTATGATGTTTTTGTCTCAGTGAGCTTAAAACAACCTATGGGGAGTTTGGACAAGCTCAAACTACAATGTACAGTAAAAAGAAAAACACACAAAACACAACTCCACATCCAGATCCTCACAAATCGTACTCCATTTCAGAGTCTTAGCCCCGGCAGCCCCGTCACACCTCTTCCCTACTGGAAATCCAACCCATTAATGGAAATACCTGCATATTAACGAGGCGTTTCCGGCCACCGAAGCACAGAAGTGACTGAAGCACGGAAGCACACACTGACATGACGTGGCGTGTTTGACTAAGATCGGTTTGAGTGTTACCTCATCCCAACACAGAGAGTTCCCTTTAGGGTTAAACTGAATATTAGTTTTCATTGTGTGTGACTACATTCTGCTAATAGCCATTCTGTGGAGTTTAAGTTTAATTTGAGTTAAATTCATATTTATAAAACACATTGTGGTCGATGTCCACATAGCAGAGTGGTCCAGAATGCTTCTGTTTGTATCAAAAGACATGATGTTTGGACTTTGGGTAGAGATGAACGATGTCCCTCCTCCTCAGCATCACTACGGTCAGACTGGTCCTCAGAGGGCAAAGGTCAGGATGACTGGAGACATTTTTGACGACAGAGTCTGGGTTTTCTTTCATTTTCCCTTCAGAGTATTTAAAGATTTGTCTCCTTTTGCTTGAATTTTCTGTGGTTTCAGCTGGTTTTGGGGAGCTTTTAGCTGAGATTAGATGCTTCTGTGCATACTAAATGCCTTTGTATTGAACAAACAGACCTGCCCCGTGTCCTGCGAGGCCACTTTTGTCCTGGAAGCTCTCAAAAAAGCAGAAGCCACCAACCAAAGTGCTGAAAACAGGAATGAAACAAGCTGAACTACATTCCTTCGAATCACACAGCTGATCAATGTTGGCCTCTCATATTCAACCTTATCTAACAAAAACAACATATATATAATATCTCTTGATATATAATATCTCCTGCGTCTCCTATTTGCCAAAATATGTATTTCAGCATTTTCTTTTTGAATTATGGGGAGAAAAAGGCAAAACTGACTCTCACATTTGAATTTTCTCTGTCTGCAGTGTGTAAACACCACCTGCCAGGAAGGAAACCTCCCTACAGTTTCCTGTGAGGGTTTCCGAAAAACACAGGTTATCAAGAAACAAACGATCAGCAGCGGGTCGCTCAAAGTCGATAAAAAAACTGCAAACGTTTTGCGAATCATTCAAACCAAAAAAATCCCCCCAAATGATGCGGATGTGACTCCGTGACCGGCTGAGATGCAGTTTTTCTGAGTCCAGACAAAGAAAAGCTGAGTCATCTGGTTTATCCAGAGGCTTGGGTGGAAAAATGAGGAAAAGATAGAGGGATTTGTTTTTAATGTAAAGGCCTTCGCAGCCGGCCTGAAGGCAGATCAGAGTGAGAGGCCCAGACATTCAGAGCAGACGGAAAAGAGAAACATTTCTGATGTTTTCGCTTTAGTGGAAGCAGCCCCTCTCACCTTCTGTTTGCCATTCAGATTTAGCAAAAGTTTCACCCAGAGCAAGTCTGAGGGAGCAGCTGGAAACTCTGAAGGACTCAATAACAAGAGAAACTGTGAGAAAGGAGAGAAAAACAAGCAGAGGAAGAATAGAAGCTGCTGTCAAGAGCAGAGAAAGTTTGAGCTGATTCTGAGAGAAAAGGAGCCTTTAGCTGCTTCTGTTTGGGCTTTAAGTAAAAAAATTAGTAACTTTTCAGTTCAATACAGGTTTTTAAAACATTTCTCAGAAAAAAAATTGGCCCGATACATTTATAATGAGATAGAAAGATGTGATTTGACAAGACTAAAGTCCTTTATGCCAGTTTTTTTACAAGTTTTTTCTGAGATGTGACACGAGACCTGAAGCGGTTTAAAAGCACTTGGACGACTTCCAGGCAGATAGCAGAGCGCCAGCAGCTGTGTGTTTATCTGCTAACGAACAGTGCAAACAGATGCCAACAGGCGGGCCGGCCGGAGAACGCTCAGTGAGAGAGAGAGACCCCATTGGGGCTGCAGACAGACAATTTCCTGAGCTCCGGAGAGGTGAGCAGGTCCATCATTTCTTGGCCAAATCTGTCGAATCCTGAGGAATGCAGCACTTTCATTCAGGCTGGGATCACAAATAGACTTTAATCTGTGTCTGCCCTCCTGCTCGTCTGGCTGCGCCCGTCTGCTGCCCCCCCTGACTCTACAGGCCTCAGTTAGCAGGTAAAAGGTCAAAGGTCAGGACAGCACAGTTAGGGACAGACTCACCAGGTTTAGTTTGTCTGTTTACAGGAGGGTGAATAAATCTAAGTCACGGAAAGCAAACAGAAAGCTGGCAGCACGGCGGGGTAGGCGTCATGGTCGGGGCTGCTCCTGCAGCATCAGGACCTTCTGCCGGAGCTCCTGATGGTTCTGTGTTTTCTGTTGTGTGAATGGAGACGTTTCACACTGATCTAACGACACAACAGTGGGTTTTCCTAACCCTGACCCCCTGAGCTGGAAGCTGCAGGAGGACCTGCGGGTCCCTAAAACGAAGGTGGGAGGATGGAAGATGCCGGGCAGACCTGGCTGAGGCGGGTTTTAGTTTGCTCTCAGACACAGAGCGGGGCTCATTTCCCACCGACATCAGCAGAATCCACCGATCTCCATCCCTGCTGGGATTCCTCCCACGGCTCCGGCTGAAGGAGCCTAACACTGGAGGAGATCTGCAACAATGGGAACCCGTCATGTGGACGCCCACTCCAAAGGAGAGAAAGGCTTCTTTTTGTGCGAAGGACTGTAAACACGGCACTGTGGAGCCGCTGTGGGAGCGGTCCGTCCCCCGGTCCGGTCCAGCTCCCCCCCAATGTGTTTGAGACATAACTAACCAACCAAAACTGCAGCCGAACACCTTCAGGACAGCAAAGGAAACGTCTGTCTTGCTGAGCGACAACAGCACAGAACGGACTAAATGCAGATAAAACATGTCACTTTTTCTGTGAAACAGCCACTGGACTCCATTTAATTTCCTGGATTACTGGTTTCTGTGCGTGCACTCTCAGAGGGAGTGCAACCAAAAACCAACAATGTGTCTTTAAAGAAGGAAATCTTTCCATTGAAAGTTACTTTCTTAAGAAAGCCAACTGGGAGGCCAATCATTTTTCTACCCCTTTTGGGTGCTAAGTTGCAAAAATAAAGTTTTTGATACTGTATTTGTTTTGTAAAAGCCAGAAAAAGCTGCAAACTAACCTTTAAATCCCTGACATCTACCTTTGGATGAAGCTTTATCTATTCCTCTTTACTTAAATGGCAAAATCTCAAAATAAAACACAAATAAATCAGTGCTTAAGAAAAAATGATGACGTCTTTAGTTTATGAGTTCTGCGCTCGCTTGGGGGAAAATAAAAGTATCCCTCAGTACTGAGAATTACCAAAGCTGCAAAAGTGCGTCCGAGCTGAGTGTCAGTGTAGCTTTTGTGCGACTGAAATAAAACGATTAGCCGTCAAAGGCCAACGCTTTAACTGGATCTACAGAGCAGCCGAAGGATGTCTGATCCCAGCAAACCGGTTCAAACCGCAATCAAATGAAAACATCCAAAGGTTTAGTCTCAGACCTCCAGATGAGCACAGAGGCCAGAGCGGCAGGAAGAAGAAGAACAAGAAGGAGAAGAGGACTTCAGAGGGAGAAGGGCCTCTTCAGCCATGTTCCTGTTTATATTTGGAGATCTGAGGGGGTTTGTTGATATAAAACAATTCCCCTCAAGCAGAGAACAGAAGGACGGCAGGAAGATGGAGCCTCTCAGGAGAGCTGAGGCTCCCCTGGGGTCCTCGTTTTATCTCCTCTCTGATTCCCACCCTGCTCACACTGTACACCTCTCTGTAACACAATGATGGGTTAATGCTACAGATGACTTTAATGGGCCTCTGAAAGACGGGAGACAAACCGGGGAGCTTTTCGAGAAGCATTTGTCTTCATATTAGAGGCTTTTTTAGACAAAGGAACCACGATTTAAGGCTCATTATGCAGAAAAAAATCCATTTAAGTTCCCTAAACTGGAGCTACAGTAGTTAACCAGTAGCTAACCAGTATTTGACCAACTGCTAACCAGCTGCTGTCAGTCACCTGCTTGTGATCCGATTTCATCATTTCTTTATGCTGGTGTAGACCTTTTTTTTATTTAGCTGAACAGCTTGAGTTTTTGGCTGTACTACAGGAGTGTTTTTATTGTATTTTATGGATTTATGTGCATGGTGTAATCAGCTGTCTGATTTTCTACCACTGCTGGACTGTCTCCCTTTCTTTGTTTCTGTGTGAACTGTTTCTGTGTTGCTTTGCTATTCATATTTAGATGGGAATCTTGTTTTACCTTTTTATTTGACTTCGGACCACTGGCTTAACCCCTCTGTCTGCAGCTTAAAGCCAAGCTGCTCAATCACAGAAAAAGATGGATTTCTCCTCTGAAGCCTCAAAGTGTTCAGAGAAATAAATAACTCCTACGGAAAAGTCTCCAGTTAAATCTAAAGACTCCAGTCAATGTCCTCCTCAACAAGTCTGACACCCACAAAGGCCGCGGGGGGATTTTTTTACACTATTTTTTGTCTTTTTTTACGCAAAAAAGAAGAATTTTAAAGAGATGAAAGCATTCAGTTGTATTGTAAATATAAGGGATCTTTCCAGCGTAGTGAAATCTTTTTGCAGTTCGTTCTGATCTGGAGTCTATTTCAGTCTTTCCACAGCTTCTTTGTTCAGACTTAGGATGGAAACTGGATCAAAGTGAAGATTTGTAGCAACCTGCTGGATTTGTTTGCTCGCTGTGTGAACTGAACCCACCTGGAACTGGAAATAATTGCACTGTAGTTGTATTACAACGAATGGGATGCCAATTGGCTTCAAGGGACAGCAGCTGCTGACCAACCTCTGGTTACTGGTCCTCGGGGTCTGAGCGACTCTGTAAAAGCAGAGGTTTGCTGCCCTGCTGCATTCGGATGTTGAACATCCAACGCCAAGGAGCAAAGACAGCAGCCGGCTCTGACATCTGCTTCTAAAAGGCTCCTCCAAACTCTTTGGAGTGGAATGATGATGAATGGTTTTCCCTGGAAAACCCTGAATGTTTTGGGCCTCTTGCCACACATTTAGCCGACCAGACAAACCCATGAAACGCGCCACAATCGGCCAAAATTTCAAACAGGTTATTTTGACCTCAGTGGCTTCAAAGGCCTGATCGCGGTTCAAAGTCGTTCTGATCTGATTCAGACAATCGAGGGAAGAGGGAGTCCAGGCCCTAAAACATCCGCACAGAATCCAGGCCTTTTCCCTCCTGCGGCCAAACACAATAAACACCTCCAGGTTATCTTTTCTCTGGTTTCAACCAGGCGGCGGCGCCGATCACACCCACCCAGAGGCGGCTGGGCGTGGGCCGCCACCCGTCCCCCCGCCCGCCATGTCAGAGGGCTTTACAACTGACCTGGTTCGGATTTAGAGGGTTGTTTGGGTCAGCTGTTGGTCTGAATTCATTACAAACTGTGAATCAGAGACAGAAACTGGGATTAAATTATAAACACTGATGGAGAAGAAAGGACCCGATATCAGAATCAGGTTTATTAAAGTGTTTTAGTTATGAGGAGTTTGAGGTGGTTGTGAAGCAGAACTAGCAAATTAAGAAGAAATAAAAGATAAAAAAATGTCAAATCAAAATTGTAGAGTAGGAGAATTCTGTACAATTTGTCAGATTTATGGTTCAGATTCAGTGAGAGAGGATTCAGACCACCAGAGGACCCGTTTCAGAGAAAAAGAAAGATGAATTCTATCAAAGTTCGATCAGAAATATGGTTTAGTGGTGATTTGTTGGATTCTTAATGGGTAAACCTGTGGATCCAAAGCTTGGAAGGTTTCTTTGTGCTTCCGGGGTTACAAACAGAAAGAGTCTAAAAGCTGCAGGATTCATCGGTGAGTGGAAACTGGCTGATGGTGTTCGGCTCCAGCCCGATCTCCTCACCAACCCCCAAAGCCCCCCCAGTTTACAAAGAAAAAACACAGTAAGCTTGAAAAACAAAGTATGAGTTCAACTAAACACGGTTTAACTCAATGGACCAATTAAGAGTGGATTTTCTCAAATTTAACACCATTTTTTAACAGGATTCTATAACCAGTTTTAACAACATCTCGTGGATAATATTTATATTATATTAAATCATTTCACAATTTACCAATTTGTACCAAATGCTTACCAACAAGAAATATTAGATTAAAAAAAGGATTTATGTACATTCGTACCACATTGTATTATTTCTGAAAAAAAGAAGAGCCAATGCAGGATGTTTTGTGGCCACAGTAAGAGCTTCAGCAATCACTGATAGACATCATAAATCATATATTCCTTTATTGTTATACATCAGATCTGAATTTCAGTCTTTAAAATCATAATTAGGAGTTGGTTGTACCCCCCCTCCAGTCTGGGAGCTGAACCCTCCCTGTATGTGGATCTTTAAGAGTCCATCCAGGTGGAGAGAGGCATGCAGGGAGGGGAGCGGGGCCCCGGGCCCCCGCAGGGCAGGAATGTGGGCTGCACTCAGGACAAACAAACAGCTCAAACCTGCTGCACAATACACCTGCTAAAACATCACACTGAGCTACAGAGGGCCAGGAGGGACAAAACAGCAGGATGACGGCGTTCAGTGCTTAAAAAGGCAAACTAATTGAACCCAGCTTTCATTTTAGGAGAGTAAAGTGATTTTAAAGGCTCCGGATTGACGCTGCCATGATTGAACATTCGCATCAGAGATCATGAAGTTAAAAAAAGGTATAAAAACAAGTGAGTGAAAAATGTCATGAAAACAAAGGCAGATGAAGGAACGTCTGCAGGGGGAGAAACACCCCCCCACCCCCCCCCCTCGTTCAGGCTGAGCAGCGCCGGCCCGTTTGGGCTCTTCGGCCACCGGATCAAACCGGTCAGTAAGAGGCAAAGGGACCTCTGACCCCGGCCCCATCACAGGGAGAGGCCTCCGCACACGCTCAGTGCGAGCGGTCGGGACGGACCTAAAGCCAAAGGTCCGGCGCGGACGACTTCAGCTCATCCCGTCTTTGTCCGGTGGAGCGAAGAGTCCCGGGAGACACGGGGACCCAAACAAACTGCCGCTCTGCGTTCTTTGAAACAGAAGCAGCTGCACTTCCTGTCCCCTGGGAGGAAAACCTGAGGGGTGAGGATGGAAGACACGCCGGCTGAACGAGGCTGCGCGTCCCCTGAGCCAAAGCCAGGAGGGGGAGGCATGGAGGGGGACACTCCCCGGCCTGTGAGACGTCTAAAGGCACTGCGGTCGCGGTTCGGACGGGTGGGAGATAAACAGACGTGAGGGAGTTGTGCGTATTTACCCCCCCACCTTCACTATATCCTGTAACTTTGTGCGTATCAGAAACAAAAGTGTTAGAAAAGGAGAACTGAGCTTGTAGAAGGCTTCTCTGAATATCTCTGTAACAGATGAAGAAAAAACAGATAAAAAGTTCCTCTTCAGGGTGGAAATCAGCAACAAATGAAACTACTGGCACCGGTTTTCTGTATGATTGTTCCTAAAAGGTGCTGAAAGGGCAGTTTGTTAAATCTCCTGGGCGTTGCTGTCTCTGACAGCCGAGGAGGTCAGAGCGCCTCCAACCGCAGCTTAAAACCCCTACCTAACCCAGTAAACTGCAAATCTTTCATAAATATCATTATTTTTTCTCTAAATCCTTAAAACTACACAGCTCCCCACAGCAACCATCCCTTGAGAAGTCGAGCCAAAATCTGAGAGGGCGAACCAGCACAGAGCTCCTGTTTCCCGCATTGTGTTGGGGGGTGGGGGGATGTGGGGGGGGGGGGGGGGGGTGCGACGCGGCGCCCCCCGGGGCGTCAGTGGCTCGGCTCGGCGCCGGTGGCCGGCGGCGCCTCCCGGAGGAAAGGGCTGAAGGAGGAGCGCACGGTGCGCCCCCGCAGAGGCTGCTGCACGCGGAAGTTGTTGACCATACTTTTCTGAACCTCCTCCTCGGCCGCAGTGAACAGGAGGCTGCGGAAAACTGCCAGCTGGGGGTGGTGGGTGGGGTGGGGGACGGGATATGTGGGGTATGGGGGGGGGTGGGTTTAAAAAAAAAAAAAAAAAACAATTCTGTCAGAGGATATCGTCCTGAGCTGATCAGCGACCCTTCCATCGGGAGGTCGTCCCCTCATCTTTGTCACATAATAACCCAAATGACTTCTTTCGGTTTTTAATGGCGTCCATTGACCTGAGAGCATCCACCATCCATCCTTCAGGGATGTTCCCAACATAGTTTTGAGTAATAAATATTTGACTTTTGCTAATTCCACTTCAGTCTATAACATGAATCCGTCTGTATTTCTATGTTAATGGGACGGATACAACACGGCTTACATCTGACATTTGGTTTCTTGGATGCTTCTGACCCTCTGAGTAGCTGTATCTGTATCCTGTATCTGTACCCTTCTTCTGAGACGACATTTTGGCCAAATCGATAGCAGAAAGAGGTGCTGGCATATTTCTTCGAGGATGTGTCACACTGAGCACCACGAGGGAACGTGGTTGAAAACAGCCCACATACCTGGTCATGGCTGACCTCGATGTGCTGCTTCATGACCATCCAGGTGACGGACTCGGTCAAAGGGGGCGTGGTCAGCGAGCCGTGGTACGTCCAGTAATCGTCAGTGTTGCTGGGCAACAGGCAGGCGGGGTCGAAGCGCGTGAACTCGACGATGCTGCCCTGCAGATGTGACACAGACTCACTGAAACGCACCACAGTCACCTGAGATTTAAAAGGTCTTTGTGCTACAAAATGTGACACACACACACACTGCAGACTTCCCTAAAGATGAAGCTAATAGTTACAGATGGATCAGGTACAACCATCACCAGGTTGTTAGTTAGTTGTTTTTTGGCCGCATGGAAAACAGGCTGATATTCAGCCTCATGTGATGAACCACTAGAGGGCGCCGTCCTCCCAACGGACGCACTTTGTGGGCGTTTCTGTGTTTGCCGACAACATTTCAAAGGGTCTTCAGGAGTGCGGCTGTGAGTGGGACCCACCTTGTGCCGGATGGCGGGGAGGGCGTCCACCAGCTTCTGCAGCCCCTCGTGTCTCTTCCCCACCTGCACCAGGATTACAGGTTAGCCTGGACTTTAGTCCAGTGTTGTGCAAACACACTCAGGCTGCAGCGTAGCAGGCACCGGCAGACAGAGACATCTCACCGTGCGCGCGTGAGTGTTTTCTGTGTAATCATTGAAGGGAAAGAAGTGCTTGTACCTTCAGAAAAATTCCAATAACAGCCAGTCCGTTATCTTCCATCACCGCCTCCTCGAACAAACTGTACTTGTCGGAGTTCCAGTGGACCAAGTGGAGCTGAGAGCACACAGGCAGGAGAGTCTTTCAGTTTATCAAGTTCTGCTTCCTTCTTTTGACTTTGATCCATCAATCATGACTGTAACGCACACGCACAGACACACAAATACTGCTGAGTGATGACAACCGGGACACAGACACATTCCCAGCAGGACTAACAAGAGCCCGGCACACACAGCGCACATGCACCCTGTTGTCCCTGTTGCCTCCTGTTGCATAACAGCGTCCGAGCGTCATGGAACAGCTTGAAAATAGACGTTCAGCTGGCAAACGGGAGGCCGAGCTGCTCGAGGAGGCTTCAGAGGTGGAAAAGGAAACGGGGAAACAGCTGGATCAGCGATCCAAACAGCTGCACAGGAACCAGAGTTTAAACTCAGATCAAACTTATTTATTTAGCACTCTTCTGACCACTTCAGGGGACCTCCATATTTGCAGGAAAAATAACTAAAATTAAACTATGATAATATTACAGATCTGTGACTTTCTGGGGTTATTTTTTTCCAGTGCGGTTGGTGGCGCCCATTTGCTCAGCTTTCAACTCAGTTTTTCCTTTCAGGTTCTTATGAATGACTGTTAGTCAGATTTTAGACTCTTCTACATTAATCCCGAATGAGGAGACTCAAAGTTTGTTTCAAGAGCAACAAAACTGTGAAAGACATTTTACAAGCAGTTTACACATAAAACATTCAATTCTTCTGTCGGCAAAGAAAGAACAAAATGCTGAGAATACAGAACAACGACTTATTGGTTTGGAGTCTTATTGGTTTAGAGCGGTCAGCGTGCATGAAGAGGAGTTTTGTGCACTAGGAATATTTAATATGCTTGGGTTAGGGTCAGGTAAAAGACTGGGTTGTGTGTTTTTATTGGCTTTAAACATCAACCGTGGTTAGATTTTTCCCAACTTAAATTGCTCAATCTTTTCATTTGAGCAGATATCATCCAATCATCCAATATTGGGATTTGAATTGTTTTAGAGGTCAGTATGTGTGCAGTCCAGGCATCTTTTATGAACAAACTTTCATAATTTCTGTAAATGAAGTATTCAATCATTAGTTTTATTGCCTGTTTTACTGCCAATGAATGCTGGGTTTCCCACATTTTTCTGCAGAAAATGGTCAAAATTGAACTCCGCTGTCCGCTTTGAATGGTAATATGTAGCGCCACCCGGTGGAGAGATTAAATTTCAACGATAACTCACAGGAACATTAGCTGATGTTCACAAAAAGCTGTGAACATTTTCAGTGACTTTAATGGGAAACATAATAAAAGAAATAAATTCATGGACTGAAATTTAAAATACTAATAATGTTAAGGATATCCTAAAAGCTAAAGGACATTAAATTAAATTAATTTAAAAAAGGAAATACAAAAAGACCACTGAAAGGGGGGGGTCAAAAGTCTATTCGCAAATATTCATAGATTAACTAACAATAACCTGCTGAGAAAAACTGATAGAAACACCAGAAATTCAATAGTTCACTAAGCATGAAAATAAACACATGGGATCAGCAGGTATTCTTAGAGGAGAAAAGTACAATATCTTTTAGATAAGAAGTGTTTAAAAGAACTGTGGGCTTGAATGGAGGTTTGGGCTCTGCGTCACCCTTTTTTGTGTTGATCTTTTTCTGATTTTGAGCTTTCACATCTCTGTTTTATAATCTTTGTCTGGCTAAATGTTAAGGAAAAGGAAGTTACTAAAACTTAAAAGTTAATAAAAACAACTTAAAGCTTGTCATTAATCAAATCTGAAAAGATGTGTCTGGGTTCTAACGTTTCCGTGTGAAAGCTCCTGCCGGGTGAAAGCGGGTGAAAACTCTCTGTTGCTGTGGTGACGCAGTACCTCTGCGGGGAACAGCCGGCGGTCCACGGTGTGCTCTGACCCCCAGGCGTTGGTCTCCCCCCAGTGGAAGTGGAACTGACACAGCCTGAACTGGTCTTGCAGGGGGCCCCCTTTCAGCGCTGCACCACAGGGACACAGAGCACGTGCGTCAGTGCATCACATCTGAGCAGCGACTGACTCAAACCGCCGGTAAGAAGAGGAAACGCTGCCTCTCTCTTCCTGCCTACCGCGTCCTCGCCTCAACACACAGACGTCTGCTGAGGAACAGGTTGTTCAGGAAAAAGGAAAGATAAATCCCTGCTAAGAACTTCTAGGAAACTAAATAAAGAGCGGATTTTTGAAGGGATGACTTCTCATTGTCACCTCGACTGGCTGGTCAGAGAAAAACAAAAGGACCCATTATTCCAGCCTCCTCTGCAGCTCTAAAGCCACACAAGCTTCCAGTCACAGCACCTGTTCTCAGCAGAGGTGACAAATTGCCTCCCTCGGTTCTGACAGCTTCCTTTAACCTATTTTTAAAACTAAGCCTCCTGTTTAGATTATCTGTGGTTTGAGAAGTTAATCAGTTTGTTTTTTTTTACACCGAAATGACCAAAAATCTAAAGCAGACACAAAAGTCACATGAGGGTCGCTGATTAATGTGGCACTCGGAGCGTAGGAGTGATTTCACAACATACAAAGGCTTCTTTACGGGGGGAGTGGAGAAGAAGATAATCCTCTTATGTAGATCAAAACATGCATTGAGACTTTGCTTTTAATGCTCTCAATATTCAAAGAGAAACTACAGACCCAGACATGCTCTTCATAAGAAAGCTGCTGGGATTAAACCATAACTGTGGGCTCATTTTGGAAAGTTAGTCTAATATCAAAGAAGTACTTACTTGACTTGTCTGTTGTGTCGTCATACTCGACTAGGAAGGAATAACCGTTGTTCCAGATTTGTTGGCAGGTCTCTGGGTCGTAGTCGGTCACCAGGGGCTTCAGCTCCGAGTCATACACGCTCTTCCTCACAACAATATCTATGGGAGACTGTCGATCCCCTCCTGGTACCGCGAGGGGTCCCTGCCACATGGGATGCACTGGAGATGGAGGAGAGGGAAGAGGAGAAGAAGAAGCAGCGTTGGAAGGACTTCAGAGAGAAAAAGCCCGATTTCAGAGTGCAGCTGAATCACAGCTTCTGCTGATGTGTGAAGAAAAAAAACTGCTGACACCTACTTTTCATGTTGTACTCCGCTGCTTCCTGCATTTTTACACAATCCATTTCAAACTAAAAAGTAAATACTGCTGCTCATAAAAAGCTATAAAGCTATTCAGCGTGTGGCCCAGATGGAGACACTGACAGTCCTTCCTCCTTTAGCTCAAACAGGTAACTGAATGAAAAAGCTCTAAGAAAGTTATTGCACTTCCTTCTAGTCCTCTTACTCTTTTTTTTTCCTTAAAGGAAATAGCTAAATAAGAGAGAAGTGGGCTGGCTGTACAGAAAGTGACACTCGGAATGTCCTGGCACGCCCCCAGCTCGCCGCCACAGCGGGAGGAACGGCCCGCGACCTCTGGCCACTCACACCAACGTCTGTCCGCGGAGCCACTTTAATTACCCAAAACCGCCCGCTTTCCAGACCTCCTGCTTTCTGCCCCTAAAAACAAACCCAATAACATGAACTCCACTCATAAAACATTCTGCTTAGAAAAACAAAAGAGGAAGCAGACCCCCCCCCCTGCTGTCTCTTAACCGAGTTATTAAAAAAAAGGCACGAGTGAGGCTTTAGTTGCTCTCCTTGGTCGTCCAGCGTGAGGCTTAAGGTTTCCAGAGAGAGCCGAGCTGCACGGGGTCGACTGGGAGATGACCTTCATCTTCATCGGATTTCAGCCGCTCCTCCTGCGGGAGTTGACCGCCTCACTGTGTTTTTGTACAGCCAAACAACAACTGCCTACAAAAGCCTTTTATGCTAAACACAATACGATCTTGAGCTGTTACGTTACTCCTTTTCGTAGCTCCAGAAAACATCTGGTTTATCAGACTTCTTGAGCGGGTCAGAGGGGCCGCTACGCTCGGTTAGAGCTCCATAACACTCCTAATTCCTGAAAAACTGCCATCCTGAACAGGTGGATCTGAGAGACTTGCATAACATGACGAGTAGAACAAAAAGAAGAAAAAAAAGAAATCTCAGCGGCTGTAACTAAATCTAGATCTTTAAAACAAATCCCAGCCATGTGATGTAACTACTGAAAACACACTGGCACAGCACATAAAGTCCCCGTCTTAACTGATGTTATGATCTGAAAAACAAACTTTTGCTCAGGCTGCTCGATGAAAGCATCAAAGTGAGTCAAATCTAAAAGTTCTCAGCCAAAAGGTTCAATTTGTCCCAGGAGCTGCACCTAAAACGTTCAGCCTGTCAATATTTAGAAGTTGTAGACTTAATTTCTACGTAGAAAAATCCCAATCGAGCTTCAAAGCAGCAGAGCAGCTCACCAAAATGAGGGCGGACTGAGGAGGTTTCAAACTGCTACTCTGCTAATGTTTCACAGGAGGAAAGAGATCCAACAAAAACTGTTAGTAACAAAACAGCAGCCATGGGTTTTCTAAAGAACACAATATCAATATCTGCAAATCTCTGCGGAGAAAAATGAAACTTTCAGCGTGAGAAGGCAACATGAGGGCATGACCCTTCAGGGAGTTCTGCCCTGGTTGTGGGCTTTCAGGAGCAACATGTTTCATCTCTCAGAAGCTTTGCCACAAAGTTTTCATTTAAGACAAATCAGGTTAAAATGAGGGCCGAGGGTGCCAAATCCTCAGGGGCTTTTTCCACAAAAGCACTGCTGGTTTGAAGATACAGAGTCTGACCTCTGGCGCTACAAATTCTTTGCTGGTCCAGAGCAAAAGGAACCACTTACTCCAGGGGCCAGGGGCAGGGAGCCCAAGCAATACAACCGAAATGCTCTGTGATGTCTGCAAATCCAGAGTGAAAAGCAGCCTTCAGCTCGGCTTAGAATCATGTGCAGGTACTTTTACCATCGCTGTCAGTTGTTTTGATATTTTGAGCTGATATCTGCAGATTACTACATGTTCAAATCCATCCATCCATAGTCCACTCCAGCTGTGAAGCAGCTGTGCAGACCACCACAGTGCCCGCATGTTCAAATCAGTTATAAATGATATTGGTTATGACATCAGCTTGTTGGGTGCACAGGACAAAAACTATGTTCACACACTGTGGGGCCCAGCAGACATCAAGGACATTTGTGTGGGAGAGTTGAGAATATCAAATGAGATGTTCAAAGTTATGAAAATGAGTGGCTCTGTAGTGATGGAAAACTGTGTTTTAAAGGGTAAACGGCACTCCTTCAGTCTTTATACAGTGAAATGTGGTGCATGAGAGAACATAAAAGTTGGCATGTTGAAATTTCAGCCATGCCAACCATTTTCTGTGGCTTAAATGTCTATAAATGTTTCTTTATAGATGGCTAAATGAAGTGGACAAACAAAAGGGGAGTCAGATGGACTGGTCAAAAATGGGTTATTTCAATTTCAAAGCTCTTTTATTACGCCCTGACTGAAAGAGGCCATACACCTCATCTATTATCATGGCAGAAAATGGAAAAGCTTTGCTGTTCGAGCCAGTTTTTCCACTTCCAAGTTTTTCTTTTGTCTGTAATGTTTGCTCTGTGGTTGTGTAGTCAGCCTTCGATGCAGCAACACAATACAGAGGTTTAAATGTGTTTGAACCTGTCGGACGAGCTTGGGTGTGTTTAATTCTCTGGTTTATGAGATCTGTGCTGAGATTAAAACTCAGTTTATCACGTTACCAAAGGAAAAAACATGCTTATTTTTTGTCATGTCCGATCACAAATAAAGTCAAGCTGATCATGTGGAGATGATGTGGACTGTATGAAAGTATGAAAAAGGGACAGAAAGAGGAATGAACTCAAATTCAAACAGCCAGGTTGTTATGTAGGTCAAAGGGTTTCAAATGATCTGGGGTATCAGCACTTGTGTGGAAATCCTGGAAACTGGACTCTGCTGACTGAACAGAGAGGAGATTGATCCACATCCAGTGATGGGCAAAGTCCACCCCGAGCTTTTTTAGGGTTTACAACAACAAATGAGACCATTTACAGCTGCTGGGTGACTCACACCGAAGGGCTTTACAGCCACAATGAAACCCAGAACCGTGCTGGGTCCCACCGACTGTCCGACCTGCAGCTGATGGTCGATAAATGAAATAAACCCGCGTTTCTTCTGAGCGCTGAACGGACGCGTTGGCCACAGCACACCGTTTGTACTCACTTTGAGACAGCACATATTTGCTTGAGCACGCCGTGAGGTTGCATCTTCTGACAGGCGTTATCCGGTTACTCTTGGCGTGCCTGGCGAGCTGCCGTTGAAGGTGAGAAGCCAGAGGTCTGACTACCGCGGAGAAAGTCACCATTTTTTTCGCTAAAAAAAAATAAAAACCTTTTTATGGTTAGCGGGTTTCACCACCAACGGCTACGGCGCGTGCTTTTAACGGCTGTCCGTGAAAAGGCTAACGGCTAGCGTTTAAACTCCGAACAGAAGTTAGCTGTCTGTTCCAAACAATGTATCGCCTGGCTGTTCCGCTCCGTCGCTGCCCTCCTACCGTTTGACTGGAGGCGGGGAGAGGGCAGGGTTTCGGCTATAGAGTCAACATCTTACAAACGTGGGTTAAGAAGAATGAACATTTTCATCCTGAAGAGGCAGCCCCGGGGGGGGTTAATTTAATCTGTTCACTGGCGCCGTCGGTCGGTGTGGACCTTCGATTGTCAAAGCGATATCAGGAGGGAGGGAGGAGGGGGCTTCAGAGGCGGCCAATCAGCGGCTTCCTCTGAGGGGCGTTAGCAACAGAGATGGCAACGGACCGGAACCACCGACTCGATGGAGGCTGGAGCTAGAAGTTCACTTTTTCCTAATTTAATGACAGTTCGAGTGTAATTTAATGTCTCCTATTCAATTTCTCCTTTTTTTATTGATAGGCCATTGTTTTAACCCCAAATTTGTTTACCGCCATGTTTGTTTTGAAATTAGCAAAATTGTTTTTTGGGGATTAAAAAAACGCCACATAAATTCAACTTTAACCCCTTTGTGCTCTGTGACACTTTCCTGAGCCCAAATACACAAGCAGAACATTCAGTTTGTCATTTCTGGCACCAGAAACTCACTTGTTCACCTTCAATGGTTTTTACTTTCACTGCAAATATTGAACAAATCTTTAAGATTCCTGACTTTTTCCACTCATAAGTGAGGACTCATTTTTATAAAACAGACCTCTGCATCTGGAAAGAGGAAATAATAGCTAGTCTTTTTGCAGACAAAAAAAAAACATGTGGCCCAAGAGGATAGATTATGTTAATTATGGATCCACACAGACAGAGTATCACTGGAAGTAGAATTCATATGAAGATAACATTATAAGGGTGAAATGTATACATACATTACAGTAAGTTTTAGCAAATAATATGATCTCCCAACATTAAATACACATATCTAACTATATGACATTTAAAACTGTTATTGGATATTTGGAGGTCATATCACACTTGGATTTCTCAGATTTGACTCCATGAATAAAGAAGACACAAAACAAACAGGTCTCTGAAATGATTGTATTTATTATCATCAAATTGGTCCAAAAAGGCTCAAGTCAGATCTCATGTAAATTATGGACACCGACGTGGACCAGAGAAGCTGCCTGGCTGCAGCCCGTCACCGTCAGGTGATCCTGCTGCTCGCCTGCAGGATGAATCCGAGCAACTGGAACCAAATACTGCATCATCTCTGGCTGTTCAGTCTCTTCCCGACCAAAACAGCGCCACTAACTCGTTTAAACTACCTCTACTATGGGCTGAGGCTGCTTGAGCTCCTCTCTGTGGTTGTCTGAGTAACAGCTTTCAGACTTCCCTCCAGCCGACAGCTCCCAGAGTTACAAAGGGAGTGTTGGTGTGTGTGCAGGCGACCCGTTAGCTTTGGGAAAGAGGTAGCAAGCTAACACTCCTCAGCACAAACAGGCAACAAAGTGTACATAGGTAACACAAGCTGCTCCCCCAGCCTTCATTCGCCCCCTTTACTTGGACACAAATTCTTACTCTTCTGAACCTTGGCCGACAAAAGCAAAAACACCCTGACTCGTGTGTGTGTGAGAAATACAGTACGCTTATAAAAAATACAAAAAAAGCACTTTTTAACCATCAAGAGAAGCATTTCAGGACCATAAACCAATAAAAATAAGAGGAGAAGTTGAGCGTATTTTCCAAAACTTCCTTTAAAACATTGAGTCTATTTACAGCGTCATGTCAGAAAGCGAGTATGAAAGCACAAACACGTTCGGGGGGAGGGGAGTAAATTGTTCTTCATGAAAGAGGCGTTTTATTTAAGCCTACTGTCTGTGTGGAGTCAAAAGGAGTCCTTCGGGGGAATCAGTCCAGAGCGATGATGTCGTCGTCGTCATCGTCGTCGTTGGTTGCGGCCGCCGCGCTGGGCTGCTCCACCCGCGCCCGCTTGGTGGAGGTCTCTCCGGTCTCCTGGTCGGGGTGCTTCCTCTTGGTGCCGCTGGCCGGCGCCGCGGAGCTGGACGAGGCGCCTTCCTCCTCATCCGAGTCCACGATCATGACGTCGTCGTCGTCTGATGGAGCTGGTTTCAAAGAGAGGGAAAAATAAACTGTCAGATCAAACGCCAGGCGGCCATTTTGAACCTTTAAAGACGCGACAAATGTGCCCATCTGTTCAGCATCAAGCTCCAATCGGTTTATGCTGATTGGACTTTTTACAGATGCAGTTTCAACTGTCTTGGCTCCCAAAACAACCAAAATTGTAAATAATCATGTGATGGTAACAGCCTGTTTAAAGGCAGCTGGGCTCATTTGTCCAGATGTGGAGAGATGAGTGTTTACCTGCTCTCTGTGCAGCTCTGTGGTTTCTCTTAAAGAGGTCCTCACACTCCTCTCAGGTGGAGCACCGTCTGGCTGAACGAGTTCTGAGCTTTGACATGTTTTTGGGGAAAAATTCCCTTTCCCCTCTTTTAAATTTGGGGATCAATCACAACAACTTTAAACTGCCACCTAGTGGCTTTCAGATGACCTCTTCTGAGTTTGTTTCTGGTTTTATTTGAGATAATTTGTTCAAAATAAAGGAAATCTAATAGAAACTGCTCAGAGTTTATGTTTTGTGTGATTTTGGGTCCAAAGTGTAAACGCAGTGTCTCAGGAGTACTAAAGTCACACAAAATTAGCCAAAATAAACAGTTTTTTATGGGGAAATATGGGACCGAATAAGGGATATTTGTCATTTCCATCTGATGAACTTTGCTTCTTGTCTGACCTTTGAGGGACGTGGACGGCTTGGCTGAGTCCTTGTTGCCGTTGGTGATGCTGTTGACCTCCTCCTGGTTGCTCTGAGGGGGCGGAGCTTTATCTGGGGCCTCGCCAACGACCTCGAACTCCACGTCCCGCTCCAGCTCCTCGCTGCCAGCAGGGAGGGACACGCGGACCGTTAGTTGCTCGCTGAGCCATAACAGGGACGCGGTGAGCGTCCACAGGAGGGCAGCCAGCCGGCGCCCGGGGGGGTCCTACCTGTGCAGGACGGTGATGAGCAGCGTGTAGTCCTGCAGGAAGTCGTCCGCCTGGAGACGGCTGCCGTTGCGAATCCCAAAGTCAGAGAGGAATTTGTTGTTGTTGGCTGTGGAGAAGCAGAGCGAGCACAAAGCCAAACGTTAGCAGAACCAGAGTCCGAATGGGTCTCTGAGGAAGGCAGCAGGAAAAAAAAAAGAGGCCAAAATCTTGTTTTTTGACCCAGATCTGTTTTTTTTATGAATGTCTCAACAGGGAAAAGTCTGATTTGACAGTATCTGAAACTGTCCCAAATATTACTTTTTTTTTTGCCTAAGTTCTGACCAATATCAGATTTTTTTATGCCAGAAATTTGATTGGTTTTGATCTATATTAGAAATAAATGCAAAATGTGCAATATTTAGGCCTTGTTTCCTCATTCCATCTTTGCTCTTAACCCACACAGCCTTTAATCTCCTTCTTCTGCCCCCCTACCCCACTTCATTTTACATCTCTCCTTCTGATGAGACGAGAAGAGTTTATGAAGACCCGACCCAAACCCAATTAGGCTACAAATCCAATCAGAAATAAATCCAAACTGTGATATTTTCTGCTTCCTTCATACCTTCTGTCTCTCCCTCTTCTGATGAGATGAGGATGGTTCCTTTCCCGTCCTCAATCTGAACATCTGGAGCCACCATGCCGAACCTCTCTTTCAGGATCTGAGCAGAAACACAAAAATGTTTGTTAAAACAGGCAGAACTTTGGCAGCAGTTTGGCATAAATGTATGTGGACTCAAGCCAGCCACCAGCTGGTTGTCCAGCAGCCTAAAGCCCCTCCTCACCCGGTCCTGCAGGCAGAGGACGGCCGTCTTGTTGACGTTGAGTTTGACTGTGACTTCTGGCTTGCTGACGCAGACGTAACAGTTTGCGCTGGGCGGGTCCAGGATGCACGGCACCAGCAGCTTCTTTCTGAGGTTGGGACACTTGTTCAGGAAGATCTGAGGAGAGGGCAGCAGACGACAAGCGTGAGCAGAGTTTCGGAATCAGAACGCCTTCATTGTCATAGTTAGAATAACAAGATCAGAGCCACCAAAAATTGTGCAAATTAGGAGACTGAGTAGAAAATATGAAATTTATACAATATAAACGTATTAACAAGATTATAAAGTTAGTAATGAATTTTAGCAGTAATATATAAATATGGTGTTAGTGGGAATAGGTGTTGTGTAAAGATTAAAAAAATAAATATATTTCACATAAGAGTACGTATTGGACATTGAAACGTCTCCAAAATCCAAAAAGAAAAAGTTTGGCTGCCCATAAACAGGCTCTTAGGATTGTTTGCTTCTAAAAACTGAATATTTATAGCAGTCCACACATTTTTCTGCTTTCTGCGTTTCGATTACTTGCGTTTATGATATTTATCCTGAAAGGAGCCATTTAAACCCCTCCTATCCTGGGCTGGTGGAATTATCAAGGATCCATTAGCTGTGCACACTGGGGGGCAGAACTGACCGTGCGGCAGGACTCCAGCTCCCCAGAGAGGATCTTCAGCCCCTCCAACACGATGAGTCCAGCGATGACGGCGTTGGTGGTGGCGATGGCGGGGATGATGTTTCCTGCCATGGCTGAAGGACACAGACCATCAGCCTCAGCCGAGAGCGACAGAAACCAGCTCAGCTCACCAACAGAGACAGCAAACTTACACTTGACATCGAAGCGGCTCTTGGTGTTCATGCTGAAGATGTGCATCCGCAGGTTGGCGGCGGCGGTGACAAAGTCCATGGCCGGGGGGTCGTCCTGGGGGGAATCACAGTCAGGTTTAAGACTCTCAACCTCCTTAAAACTCAAATTAAGGGATAACAAAGCCTGTTGATCCATTGATCTGAATATATCAGACGGTTCTAAATGAGCTCCCTGCACCAAATATCACCAAAAATCCAGTTTAAGATACAAACAAAGCGACTAATTAACAGTCAGTCATTTAATGTTTGGGAGCTTTTTAAAAAAGCGTAATCAGTTTAAGCAGAACCATTAAATTTAGGCTAAATTTGCAAGTTCAGAGTCCAGGCTTATTTACTAACCCCTTAACCCCCGTTTCAAGTCAAAGCTCCTCAGATTGAAAGATGTCACCATTTTAGGATCCAATCAGAGCTGCAGACTCAATGACTCTGATGTCAAAGCAGTTCAACACAGAAAAGGATGGATTTCTCCTCTGAAGCCTCCCAATGTTCAGAGAAAAAAAAAAAAAAACCAACAAAAAGCCTCCTGTTAGATTTAAAGGTTCCAGTTAAAGTCCTCCAAGAAAACAGTTAGTCCACAACAAGTCTGACACCCAGAGACACAAAGTCCAGCTGAGGCTGCAGAAACATGATCAGATGTGCAGATTTTACACCGATTCTGATCCTGACTTCAGTTATTGTGGCTGTTTGCCTTTTTAGGACTTTGAAAAGGGTGAAAACCAGCCTAATCTCCATACTGTGTGGTCGGCCGTTACCTTGTCCCAGACCAGCTCGGCGCCCTCGCCTTTCTCCTGCAGCTGTGCGCGCAGAGTCTCCACGCTGTGCTGGAACAGCTGGCAGTGCCCCCAGACGCCCAAAACCTGCTGGTCCTTCAGGCCTGAGGCTGGAACCTCCTCGCTGGGATGGGCTGGGAGACACAGAGGAGACCGGTGAAGACGCACAGCCCGCAGAAAGCCTCCCGCCAGCAGCGGGTTTTGGGGTTTGGAAGGAATTTAAGCCTCAGAAGATATCTGTGTTTGCTAAAAGGTCAAAGTGCCAGGAAGTGGACACTGTTCCAGAGGACCAAAGCTGAGGTCTGAGGTCAAAGATAACTAATGTATACAGTGTATATAGACAGACTTCACCCCTTGATCCCAGAATCAGAGGGGTATAAAATGTACTATGATTTTCCCTGTCTGTTGTCTGGAAACTCCTACAGACCCACCTCTTCCCCAGACCTCTGGACCCTCTACTCCTCTTTCTGTGCTTCATCCTGTCACCACTGACTGACTTTGGGGTTTTCCTCCAGAGTTCTGATTGTCAGATTGATGACAAATGGAACATTGTGTCTACATTGTAAGACGCTTTGAATAAAAGCATCTAAATGCGAAACATATCATAATGTTTTACTGCTGATGCCATCCTTTACCTGACTGCTTTTCACTGAAACACATGGTGAGTTTAAGTGTTTTTGGAAAGCTGGTTAATCTCAGACATAACCCTGTTGGGTTTCTCCACTCTGAACCTGTCTTCCTTTAATTGCCATTAGACTCTGAGGAACACCATGAACTGTAGGACACATTTTGAACCATGAACAGTATCAAGAGAAAATAGAGACCCCCCTAAAGGACATACCGCTTTTCTCCAGCTGCTTCCAGTCGAGAGGCGTAGGCGCTTTCCTCTTCTTCCACAGCTTGTCCATGGTCAGCAGGTACATGATGTCATCTTTGAAAAGCTTTGGGGAGAGACAATCACAGCACACCGTTAGACCTGGTCACAGACGAGCCCTGCGCTCCCGGCTTTCAGGCCCGAGCGGTGACAAAATTCCAGCCTACATTACCCAAGATGCATCACACAGGCCTCGCATGCAAAGGTCTGCCTTAAGTTCTGAACAAATCACATCTGCCTGCGCTTAAAAAACTATGTTAAACGTTTGACTTCCGCAAGAAAAGAAGTGAGAAGTTGAAGCATCTGTCCAGTTGGAAGAAATATCTGAACACAATCAGCCCCAAACGACACAGAAACAACAAAACCCCATCGGTATTTGACCTGTTGTGAACTTTTAGCACATAACACTCATATTCGACTTGGACGTGACTCTATTTATGGAATTAGTCCTTCAGGGAAATTCAACTTCCAGCAGCTTAACAGGACAGAAGCAGCACACAGAGGGCAATAAAGAGGAAAAACAACAGATGGCTATCTTGCCAATTGATATTTCTGGTGTTTGGAGTCAGCTTTAATCTCGTTGTACATGTGCGTAATGGCAATAAAATGCATTTTGTGGCTATAAACTTGCACACATATTCAACCATGTAAATAGTATTGCCGAATCCATTCTTATGAGCTACCAGGTGAGGTTGTAGCCGTTAGTCTGGACGCACCTTGTTGAAAAGCTTGACGGGGTCATACCCGGTGGAGCGGGCCCACTCTTTGGTGGAGATGCGCTTGATGTCTCCATCCTTTTCTGAGGCGGTGGCTCGGGCCGCCGTGTCTTCGGGGTTCCCTGCTCACAGGACACACATTTCACACAGAGCACAGCTAATCATTCGTTTGTTTGGCCGTTTTGCCCCGGCGGGAGGAGCCAGGGGGCGGGGGCTGACTCACAGGAGGCCTCTGGGTCAGCGGTGTCTGGCGACACCTCTTGATCTGCATCTTCTTCTCCGAATAGCTGACTGGAATGAAGGCAGAAAGTATTATTTTAACCCAATGCCAATAATCTGACCTCTTTAAAAAAAGATTACAGGAGGTGCTCCCAGCATCAGTTTGGATTCAATAACTGAAAGCTGAAACCTCTTTTAGGCATGCAGCGTATGAGCTCCTACTGTAACTGGGCAAAGGGACTCTCACTCTAAATGAACTGAGCTGATTTTACAGAGAACTTTTACATCTAAACAGAATTTGGGGGGGTCAAACACACTCCAACAAACTTTTCTTCATTATTATTTGTAAATCCCATAATTTTGTCTGCATTTTCTTGTATATATATTTTATAACATAATTCTTTTTTCAATTTTTGCAACTTAAATAGACATATACATACAAGCCCACATTAACTCTGCTGCTCTAAAGTAATCTATCTCTTTATTTACGATATACTTAAAGCGACTTTAAAGTTTAAAAAAGTAGTTAAAGTAAAGTTCAAAGTAGTTAGACTTACAAGTAAAGTAGGTTACATGATTAAACAAGAGTTTGGCCTCAACTATTTAACTGTGATACATTTAGGACACCATTTTCCTATACGGCCTATTTCTTGCTGCCCATCGTAGCCATTTGGAAAATAAGGTTCGTAATGTCAGTGGTTATAAAAACAAAAATGTATGTGGCCATTTAACCATGACATTATCATGTGAATTTTCCCCATTGTGTGATCAATAAAGTACACACATTGTTGGCCGAGTATCAGCCATAACGATGTTCAGATTAGAGATCCTTACTTGAACAGATATTTGGCCCACACAATGCAGTGAATGGGCTCAGATGGTGTGTTTCTTATGGTGCATCCTGGGAAGGTCTTCTGGGCCGGCTTGGGTTGACACTCATAGCACTCCGTCATTCCCTGAAGGAAGACGACAGCGAAAGGTGAGACGTGACCAAACATGAACGAACACGAGGAGAAGAAGTGCCTGCGCTACCTTCTTGATGACGGTGACCTGTCCCAGGTACCCAGCAGTGCCGCTTTCAATCAGAGGAATATCAGCAGCCAAACACATCCTGTTCACATGGTTACGGGCAGCTGGAGGGAGAAATCCATCCATGAAGGTAAATAAGTTTGTATAATAAAATGCGATTCAGAAAATGGCCCAGCCCTCAGGTGAGCACATACCTCTGTTATCTAAAGCATTCATCACCAGCACGAACTTCCTAAAGAACTCCACATTGTAATCAGGGCTGTTGGAGACAAAAAACATAATAAATCCAGACACAAACACAAGAGAATGCAGCAATAATCTGTAATCCAGATATAATAATATGAACCCACTTCATGATGCTGTCGTGGTAGGCTGTGATGTTAGCACTGGGGCAGAACTGCAAGGCGCTTTCTTTGGCCACCTGAAAAACAGAAGGGTTGATCATAATTGAGCCTAAATCACACGTGCACGGCACAAATGCAGGGGAGGAAACATGGACGCATACCTGTGCTTTAGATTTGCCGACATGCTTCTTCTGGAAGAGGAACTGACGGTTCAGGTTGCTCACATCGATGGTGTCCAAGTCGATCTGCACATTGTTGTCACATCATTTGTGTAAGAATATAACACCACATATATCACTGAGTACAATCATCAACCCAGCAGATAACCTTAGATAAGTGTGTTTGTGCTTGTTCTCAAAAAGAAGAAAATTATCACAAGTTTCTTCACTGAATAACAAACATTACTCCTAGTTACTCCACTGCACTAAACATGTAACAACAAAGACTATTTTTTCTTATCGTGCAGCTCTCATTCTGCCTCTTTCGTTGTGACTACAGCAGTATGAAAACATTTCATCCCCTGAGCTGAAGGTCAGCAGCTTGAAACTCCACACGGACCAAAGCTCTGACTGTTTATGTTACTATGGCAGAAAGATCTGTACTAATCTTTGCCTTACAACTGATTTTCATTTCACTGATACGTCATAAGGACATATGCATATTTGACCCTTTTGAGATGCATTTCATCAGAAATTTAGCTAATTATTTAGTGTTAATATAGAAGAATTAAACTATAAGAATGTAAAGCTGTAGACAGTTAAAATTCTAGGGATTTCGCAAGATTTATATGAAGTAATATTGGGGGGTTTAAGTCTGAACATCAAAGTTTTTTCCAAAAAAAGCTATATTAACCTTAAATGATACAATAATAATATTTATGTTACAGAGTTCATCAGCGACAAACATTGACTTAAAATACGTACTCACACACCTACACTCCAGTCAAACACTAAAGTTTAAACGATTTTACACGTCTACGCATTTAAAAAATAGATGTACCTTGCAAACCCAAACAAAAGACTTGCTAAGCGTGGCTCTGCCGGCTTTGAGCCACCGGTCAGAGAGCCGTCACATTACAAAGAAGTTGCCTGGCTAACTTAGCGGAGGTAAAGGCGCCAAACGCGACGGCTGCATCGCTGAGGAGCAACTTTCCGTCTCTACAGCTTAATGTTCAGCCTCCAATACGTTGTAGTACAGACGAAACACCGGCAAACAGAATTGTTAGCACCTTTGAATACTGTGTGTCAGGAATTAGTCCGAGCCCTCACACCTCCTAACGGCACAAAGACCTAGCTAGCATCCTAGCCGGCTAGCTAGCACTCACACATAAACATAAAGGCTACGGACCACTTCTATGTTTTTGAAGCCGGTGAGGACCAGGTTCTTCAGCAGCTCACAGCCAATCCCTCCTGCCCCCACCACCAAAACCTTGCAGGTGGATAGGGAGTCGGCCAGCTCTTTCCGGAGAGAACCCACAAGTTGGACCATGTTGATCTAATAGAGAAAGAGAGCCTGCTGCGAGCACCGGGAGGCTAGCGGCTAGCTTCAGTTTCTTCTACAGACGAAGGGTCACGCCCACTTCCGGGTCATCGCTTTCTTCTTCGTCCTTTATTTTCTTGGTGTTACAGCGACCTCTTCCCGCCTGGCGACTTCCGAGCTCCAGTTTCTCCTTGTTTTCACTTTGTGTGACACTTTTTCTCAAAAAACATTTTACAAATAAACTGACGGATAAAAAAATAATAGAAAATATCTGACAGATTTCTGTGTCCATTATATTTGTTTAAAAATATTATTTCACCCGAATGTTAAATATATAACATCGACAAAATCTGATGTCAAAGTCTCACAAGATCTTTTTTATTTTTTTATTTTGTTGATTGTCTCGGTTATTTTATTTTCAGAGGTGACACTAATGTTCTTAACACATACGTGTGCTGTTCACATGTATATCCATCTTCCATCTTAGAATATGCATATTCAGTAGGTGTTTGTTGAGAAACTTTGTGTTTAGTTATGTTAAATCAAAATTATGTCAGACTTTAAATGAAGTTAACAGCATTTTTTATTCCATGTCTTGGACGGGCCTGATACCTGAAGGCTCTGCATCCCAACACATCAATCTATCAAGCTTTTCCCTATACCAAGAAAAAAAAGGCATTGCTGGGTATCAATAGGTTTAATCAACATTTGAAATATTCCTTTGACATTTGGTCTATTTGGTGGAGAGCTTCAGTGGACTCAAAATGAATTTCTCCACTGTGAGATCAATAAAGCCTATCTTAAAACAAACTGAACTGCATATGTTCTCCATATTTTCTACTGGCTTTGCGGCTGTTTTCTGAACCTTTACAATCCTGTTCAGGACCAAACTGGAACATCTGGTGATTGTTTTGCTATAAACTGCATCACTTTAATGTGGATTACTTCAGGTTAAACTCATTCATGGTCTTCCATGAAAGATATGTATAGTTCATACTTCATACAACAGGGAGTGTCCTCTCATATCTACTGATGTGTTCAGGAAATTCCAGGAAGGGAGATATATGGACGATGACCTTGTGCCTGACTTCAAACCGACAAACATGTGCTATAAGTTAATGCTCTAAGGTAACCTCGCACAGACAGGTTTACTGTTGTGTGGAGCCTCTCAGGGAATTGTGCAATAGACCAATTCAAAAGTAGGTCAGCAGTGGCAGGATTCTGTTAGTTAAACAGTCAGTTTGAGTCTGAATAATGGTAATGTCTTATTAATTAATTTAGAAATCTTACAGACATGAACTAACACTTAAAATGGTGGTTGGACAGTCGGCTCACAGCTGTTAGGAATCCTGTAAAACCAGATTAAGGATGGTTAAAAACCAGCATTGGAAGTTCCAGTGATGACTTAAACATGTGTTGTTTTTGACATCTTATTGCTGAAAATAATGGGATAGATACTCAATTGTTATTTCCAAAATATGCAATGAAATATTTTGTTTGTTTACATCAGTCCAAAATTTTAGATTATTTTCCCAAAAGTTTTAAAATGAAAACAGCTGGACGTAAATTATGGATGCTGGTCGTTGTCATATTTCTCATATATATTAATGCACCAGTTCAGTACCTCTGTATCAGAAAATGCTGTTTTTTATGTAAACTTCAGAAAGTAAATGGGGGTGAGTAGATTTGTGAGAGTAGAGCCTGGAGGGGCTCCTTATGTGTGATGCATATTACTGCCAGTGGTGTGAATACATGGACAGATTCTGGGTTACTGATGCAACAAGCCCCACAAATCATGCTCCAGCAACCTCAGCCACGAAATAGTTTGCTGGATTATCCCCCAACAGAGTGTGTTTAGATAGATACATAGATCTGATAAGTATTATGGGATAATGGGAGGACATGTCTTTTTGTTGACATATGTAAAGTCTGTTACAGACTCTTGAGTCAGAAATTATGGTCAAATATTCTCATTATCAAGTAAATAAACAAATCAGCTTGATAATGTTAAGGCTCAGTGGAGGATCCATCCCTCCATCAGAGCTGGTGTTCAGTCCACTTCATTCAGTTTCTGACCCACTGTGGGAACTCTGGAAGGTTTAGCTGCTTTTAGATAACTGACAGGATACATTTATCTCCGTTTTAACTTTATTTTCTTCTTTGTAACTTCAATTTAGCTTCTTTTGGCTTTGTTCTGGTCTTTTTAGCTCGGTTTTTTGCCTTTTTTGTTGTATTTTTGGTCATTTGTGGCCTTGTTTTTTTGCTTTTATTGGTGTATAAAAACATTCAAAGCAGTGAGGATCCATCCTCCTATCAGAGCTGGGCTTCAGTCCACTTCTGGTTCCTCTGGCAGAGCCACGCCTTTCCTCCCTGTTTCCTTCCTTCAGAGGGGCTTCTTGACAGCTCCCCTTCATGGAGAGGCCACCAGGAGATGGTCAGCTAGAGGTCCAGATGCAGCTCTCAGCTCCTGTTCAGCTGAGAACTGAAAGAGGATCTGGACCTCTTTCTTCATCACTTTCAGGTCCTCTTCATCTGCTGGATTAGAGAGTTTTTCAGGCCCAGCTGTTCTTCTTCTGTCACTGGTCCAGTGTCCTCAGATGTTTCAGGCCTCACTGCTCACCAGGCTGAGATCTGCCCAGTTTCCAGCCAGCAGCTCTTTGGGAATCCTCAGAAATCCTGTTTCCTGTCTGTTAAACTGTCAATACCACAAATTAGATAGACTCTTGAATAAAAAATACAGCTTGATTGAAGACCTTTGGACAGAAAACAAGATAAACTAAACCCAAAAATTGGAAAGACAATCGGGGAGCCAGGAGACCTGGTCTTTAAAAACACAAAAAAGTTACATGAAAGTCTGGCTCTTTAAGAGAAAACATAAATAAACAGCTTTTAAATGTTTAAGCTGAGTCTGTTTCGGTGTGTCATTCCACATATAACAGAAATATCCAAATATTTTTACAAAGCAGTAAGAGTGAATACAAACAGTTGTGTTTTCAACAGTTTATTATCAGTATGTGTTGTAATAATAAGACTATCCCTGTCGTGCAATTCTGAATAATTATATTAGTTACATCCAGTTAAAAGTTGTTGTCTCCCTCTGAGAAGCTGAGTTTTACGAGCCCCTGAAGGCAGCAGCAGCTGGTTGGAAAGTTCTGGCTGTCCGGACTCTCACAGCTGGATGTGAGGTGGAAGTAAATCATTTTAAAATGCGTCTAACATCTGTTTGGCGAGCTGACGGAGCCCGACGGTCCATTGAAAAGGAAAACATCTTTTTTCGTTATTGTGAAATGTCCTGAAAGGCTGGTTCCTCGGGGAAAATGGGCTTTTACGCATTCGCCCTTCGTCAATCATTCCCAAGCTGTTGTGTAAACAAACGCCTGTGATTAGGAGGAGTCAATAGGGCAGTGAGTAACCTGGACACGTTTATTTGCCCCGGACTGTCGGCTGAAGTGGTCTTGGACACAAAACGCCTCCTCTTGGGGGATAAAATGAGTTATCCTCTCTCCGCGAACCAGGCGCGCGTCCACTTTCCCAACAGACGGTAGATACGGACGCTCGCGTGTGAGAGTTTCGTTGTTTTTCTTTAGTTTTTGCGTTTAGTTTAGAGCCCCGTCCAGCCCAGAGGAGATGGGCTCCGCGGGGCGCCGCCTGGCGCTGCTCGGCCTCTTTCTGCTGGGGCTCCATCACTGCGCAGCCTTCTGGATCGTCAACGTCGTCTTCCCCCCCAACGCCAAACCCAAATGGCCAAGCAACAGCACCTCGCCGCTCATCATCGGTAAGCAGAGCTGCGCATGGGGGGGTTTTGGCGCAGCCATTCAGCCGCAAACTTGCGCCCCAACGCACAAACATTTCTCCCCTTTTGGTTTTTTTTTTAACCAGTTGGGACCCTGAAAGCAGCAGAGTTGGCGTTTTTGTGTCTTAATGTACGTTTTCTACCTGTTTTTCAAACTTTTATTCAGGTTTTTGTTTGAATAATTCAAAGTTCATAAGGAAAATGTGAGGTCATTATGTGTCCAGAGGCTTTTGAAGTACGTGTTGCCATCCTGTTTTTCCCAGAAAAATCTCCCATGTTGGTCATTTATGGTAAACATCAGCGTTACAAACAGCCCCGCTGATGTTTGGCTGCTTATTGCATCAGTTACACAAACAAATCAGATTTTCCTCAAACCGAGTCCTGGCTGAGTCAGAAAAAGTGTCTTTCTGCTGTGATGCTAAAACACCTGAATGGGAGCCATGCTGCTCCTTTGGAGGCCGAGCAGCTAGATAACAGGAACAGAGAGTCACTGTCCCTGTTATCTACAGCTTTACATACATTTATCTGCCTCTCACAGCTGTGATGCCGTTTTGTCCTAAAAAAAGGCAGTTAGGACACGTCCCCTGCTCGGCTCACCTGGCAACTTTGAGCCTCTGGTAGTTTTAGACATTTACTTCCAACTAAACTAGGTAATAACAGTCAAAAACTCCTATTTTGAAGCCAAAATAAACTACTCAAAAGGAACCCTAGGTAGAGAAGTCCCACTAAAGTGGGTTTAAACAAATATCAGATCTGATTTTTAATGGATGTTGTGCACAAGGTTAAAAGGAAAAACTAAGAGAACAGCTTCTGATAAAGAGGTGACAGCATCTTTCAGAGGAAAAGGAGATTCATTGACCCTGAAATGAGTTTTCAGCCAATAAGGCTTCGGCAAACACAAGCGCCGCCCCCACAAACGCCTCTCAGGCCAAATATTGACCCCTTTAGCAGAAGCTTCCTGCAGACTTCAGCTGATGAGACCATTAAAGCAACATCGCACACAGAAGCAGGGCCTCATTTGCAGCTTTGCTCCCACTTTAAATCAGTGTAACAGTTTATTATTGTGTCTTTTAACAGCTTTGAACACCTTTCTTTATCAGCTTTGTTCTTTTTCTTCACCCAAAATGTCTGAAAACTGAACGGTTTTAACACAATCCGCTCAACCAAACATGCAGTTTGGCCCCTATACCTGCAGAAAGCGTCCGCTTCTGTGTTTAACCGGATGTGTCTGTGTGTGCAGTACCGGGGAACCTGGGAAACCGCCTGGAGGCTAAAATAGATAAGCCGAAACTGGTGCACTGGATGTGCTACAAGAAGAGCGAGGACTGGTTCCCGCTGTGGATCGACCTGAACATGTTCATGCCCATCGGGGTGGACTGCTGGATCGATAACATTAGGTAACGTCTCAGCTGGTCTCCGCCTCGCTCACGAGGCGCCATTCACTAAAGAAGTGACAAACGTTGAACGCTTCACTCAGTTTTCTCAGATTTGACACAGATTTTCAGAAATGGGGTGAAATGTAACCCTAAATTTACTCATACTATACATACATGGAGCTCAATGTGAATCTGGAATCTAAATGTAAATATTATATTGAAAATACATGTAAATTTAAATGTATATATAAATCAAATGTCAAATCTATTGTTTTTTAGTATACTTATGTTAAAAGCTTAATCTAAACCTTATTTGAATATTAAATCAAATCATCAAATCATTTTAAATATTCATTCTAAATATTTATTAAAGATGTGAATAGAAATCTGAGGGCAAATATTATATATGCACATAGATAAATGTCTGCATTTGAGATAAAATATATTAATTTCTAATTGAATGTTAAATCTAAATAAAATATTGCATTTCAAAATAGTGTTAGATAAAAAATATTGAATTCTAGAACGTAAAGATAAGATTTTCAAAATGAATTGAAATATTGTCAAATAACGTAATTTATTAATAGGATTTAGATAAAGCCTCTCAATTTTTTCATTTTCATCTTCATAATGAAGACGTGTGCTTAACATTTGAGCATTTAGATAAATATTCCATATTACAGACCACCTATTTAGCTCCAATTTTTGTCTCTCCAGACTCGTTTACAACAAAACGACCCGGCGCTCATCCAACTCTGCAGGCGTGCAGGTGCGCGCGCCGGGATTCGGGGAGACGTACTCCATAGAGTTTCTGGACTACAACAAACTGGCAGGTGAGTGAACCCCGCCCCCACCCTTTGTTGTCTTTCTTGACTGAACTCGGCAAATGTGAACATCTCGCTGTGTTTTCAGGGTATTTCCACACGATGGTGCAGCACCTGGTCAACCTCGGCTACGTCCGAAATGAGACGGTTCGCGGGGCGCCGTACGATTGGAGATTAGCTCCCAGTGAGTAAGAGAAGTGCAAACACGTGTATTTACAGTCAGTGTTGTTCTGAGACACTAACAAGTGCATCAATACAGTGTTTTCTTACACCAGTTTCTTTAATTTGACCTGAAATGCTTAGTGAGGCATTTCTTCCTGGTTCTGAAAGGCCCAAAGCGCTCTGATTGGCCAGCTCCACCAGCCCTCCAAAGCCAACCAGGAAGTGTTTCACCAGATTCATTGCTAGAAATAAGAGAAGAAGAAAAAAAAGATCAAGAATTAAGTGTAAATTCAATTCAAAGTACTTTATTAATCCCACAAGAGGTTAATAAAAAATAAAAATAGAGTAGTATCATTGATAAATATAAGTGTAGCAGAACATGCAATTTATACATAGAATTAAGAAAAAAGACCAAGAATTAAGTTTAAATTGAATCAGAAGTACTTTTTTAAGGTTAACAAGGGTTAATGAAAATAATAAAAATAAAGTAGAGTAGTAGCAATGATGAATATAAGTGTAACAGAGAATAAACTTAACTTAAACTATGAAAAAAGGACGAGTATTCTACTCGTTTTAGTTCACACTGAGACAAGCAGATGGAATAACTGTCTTTTACAGTGAAAAGTGTGTTGTTTTTTTTTTTTTTCCGTCATTGTTGGTCAGGTGATACACCTTGCATTCTTTATAAAGCAGAACATCCTCTTACTGTGGTGGTCCTTGTTGTAAACGGATGTCTTAAACGCTTCCTCCCTCAGATGAGAACGCAGAGTACTTCACTAAGCTGCAGAACCTGGTGGAGGAGATGTACGAGCTTTATCAGAAACCCGTTCACCTGCTCGGACACAGCATGGGCTCCCACTACGTCCTCTACTTCCTCAACCACCAGCCCCAGGCCTGGAAGGACAAGTACATCAAGGGCTTCATTTCCCTGGGAGCGCCTTGGGGGGGCGCTGTGAAGGTCCTCAGAGTCCTGGCCTCAGGTAAAGGCCTTTGAGCCTCTGGTAGTTTTACACATCTACTTCCAACTATATAGTTAATAACAGTCAAAAACTCCTATTTTGAAGGCAAAATAAACTACTCAGGAGGAACTCCAAGTAGAAAGTCCCACAAAAGTAGCTTCTGAAATGAGTGTTCAGCCAATATCAGCCTGTTTGTGTGATCTTGGACGGGCTGTACTGAAATTAAATTTCTCCACTGTGAGATCAATAAAGTCTATTCATTCATAAGGCTCATTAATAGGTTTTACCCCCCAGAGCTTGTCTGACTCTCCTGTTACGGCGTCGTAGGTGAAAACGACGGCATCCCAATGATTTCCAACATCAAGATCCGCGAGGAACAGCGGATGGTCACCACCAACCCCTGGATGCTGCCGTCTGAGGACGCCTGGCCGAAGGACCACGTCTTCATCTCCACGCCGACCTACAACTACACCAGCCGGGACTACGAGCGCTTCTTCAAGGACATCAGCTTTGAGGACGGCTGGTAATGCTCAGCCTAAGCTCATCTCAGGGTGACAGTTCAGCTAAATATTCAGCAGAACGATTCAAAATGACAATCAGAAGGTTTAGTTTCCAAAGTTACAGCCATATTATTATAATAATAGTATTAATAACAGCAATAATATAATCAGTGATGTCAAAATTATTATTACCACTGTGTATCAAACGTATATAAATAGCAATTAAATAAAAAATATCTTTTATAAAAAAATACAAAATGAATCCCTAAACAATGATTATCAAGCGGCTGCATTGTGGGTAATACATAATTATACCAAAAAAGCAGGTGAGAAATGAGCACAAATCTATTTTTTTCTACAATATTTTTTTATACATAAATAGAAAATAATGTCTATTAATACTGATATTAATAATAGTAATAAAATAATCTGAGATATCAACATTAGTAATACCATTGTGTATAAAACAAATATAAATAACATCTAAGTAAATACATTGAAAATGAAATAATGAAAAACACCAAATCTATTCCTTTAACAATAATTATCAACCAGCTGCATTGTGGGTAGCAGAATTATACCAAAGAAAGAACAAAGCAGGTGACAAGTGAGCACAAATCTCTTTATTTTAGCCTTTGTTTCTGCTAATAAAGTCTAAACTAATACTGAATGTGGCTGCCCTGGTTGCAGGCACATGTGGGAGGACACCAGGAACCTGACGGGCGCCCTGCAGCCGCCCGGCGTGGAGGTGTGGTGCATGTACGGCGTGGGGCTCCCCACCGCGGTGACGCACGTCTACGACGAGGAGTTCCCCAACCAGGACCCGGTGGACTTTGTGTACGCGGACGGGGACGACACGGTGGACAGCTTCAGCATGGGGCTGTGCAAACGCTGGGCGGGGCAGCAGCAGCAGCCCGTGCACGTGACCGAGTACCGAGGCCTGGCCCACCTGGACATGGTGTTCCACGAGAAGGTGCTCAACCAGATCCAGCAGATCCTGGAGGGCAAGCCCGACGTGCCCGAGGAGATCGACGTGCGCTTCGATGACAAATAGCAGCTGGGTTGTTACAGAGGTCTTTCTGAGGGAGTTCAGAGGCCCGATTTAAACAGAAAACAGCACGTTGATGCCTCCTCTTTGCTCAGTTTGGTGCTAATCAGCCTGGACTTCAGGAGTCACCACGTTGTCTAAACTGAGGACTGTCTTTGTTATTTCCAGTTATAAGTAGAGAAAATGGACATCATTGGTGAACTGTGTGAACCTGTTTGTGTGCAGATTTGTGTGTCAAACACGATTTGTAAACCTTAACTAAACATTTTGTCATCAAACAGCATTTTTCGTCAGAGTCTAGGATACTTAATCTGAAGATGGATCAGAAAACCCATCTTTCCACCAGAACTCAAACGCACCACAGATCTGTGAGGCTCCTGGAAAAGTCCCCAAACCCCTCGTGCACTTAGAAACTGGTCTGTGTGTAACTTTGTCCATGTGTGTCAGGTGTCTCATGAGTTTGAATTAGAAAGTTTCCAAAGTTACAGCCAAACAGGTTTACACAGTTTACAAATCAAATGTCATGTGTGTAGATATTGAGTGCATTTGCTCCTTGTGGAGGCTGGGAAGTGGTCTGGGTGAACTATGTATCAAAGTTTTTGGAGTTAGCTCGATGTTTGATGGTTCATTTATGTTGTACTGTATTTTCTTACGGGGTCATATTATGGTTCCATGTCGATTTGTGTATCTGAAAGATTCCTGTTCGAACCAGTGTTGTTTTTTAAGTTTAAACACAGCTCATAGACACAGGTTTCTGCATAACGAGTGTATGGTTTGTTTTCACAGTTGTGGAGTTTTTGAAACATGCAGCTCTCAGTTTTAAAAAGTCTTTATTTGTGCTGCGTTTTAGATGAACTCTTAATGTTTTTTTTTTTTGTTATTTCACAAAGAGAATAAAGGTTTTACAAACCACAAACTGTATTTTCAAGAGTTTTTAACCCTTATGTGATACTTTAGTCCACATAGGCTCTAGTTAATTTTCACCAAGAACAAACTGCCTTTTAAACAATTTCTCCTCTCACTGGGATCATTTTCATAACAGATTTGATCAGTTGAGTAGCACAATGATAAACACGAGTGTCAGGATTCATATTGAGCTTAAGGTTAAAGACCCGAAAGCGGCAGCAGAAGATGACGAGGAGAAGAAAGCTGTTTCTTTTTAATATAAAGGGCTGCTAAAGAGACCAAATAAATTAACTTACTATCAAAAACAAGAGCAAGAACTACATGGAGGGCTGATGAGATGAGTGACTATCAGGTGTCCCATCGCCTCATTGGGACTGTGTCGCATACAGATGGAGTCACAGGACGTTTGGGCTGCCATCGAGATATGGAAAACAAGCTGAACTGAGCTGAGTGGAGCAGCAAGTGCTACAGGAAAAGGGCCAGAGACAGCTGAGAGGCCTCATCTTGCTCAGATGCTTCCTGGTCGTTTTGAGATGTGGAAATAACTTCATACATACACAGGAATTGAAAAATAATTATATCTATTAATACCAATATTATTAATAGCAATAATGTTACAGGTGATATCAACATTGGACAAACTATCAGACACATTACATTTCAGACGACTTCAGTCTAAACAACAGCTTTGTGTGTCTTGGACAATTTATCCCCAATTTATGGAACAGCCATTCAATGGAGGCAAAGACAAAAATTTCAGTAAAAATATTTTAAACATTGTTAACTGCTGACTGAGTTTCTTATTTGCATTCAAAATTATTACATGGGAAATAATAGCACTAAATTTTGTTTATTTGTCAATTTTTCTGTTCTGTCATTTTAATTGTTGATTGAGGCCGCTGAATACCATCACCTAGCAACAGGAATGAGCTGGGGGAGGGGCGTAAAGGGCTCCATTCCACTGAGGGAATGGAACTCCGGATAATGCCTTGGTGACATCATTCCGGGGGCGGGCTTATCCATCTGTGATGTCACAGGTTCTGCATTGATGTCATCAGGAGCCTATAAATAGACCCCCCAGCTGGAACTGAGCAGTTTGCACCGATTAGTACAAACACTTGTGTTCGTGAAACCAGTTCTCACAACTTATCGCAGCAAATATCCACCAAACGCATCGACAATGGAAGGAACAAGCAGTTCAAGGACTGAAATGACCACAAAGGACTCTGATTTAACCAGCATGGTTCAATCTGTGGTTGAGTCCTACTTCAGCAGGTTTACCCAGAACCAGTGGCTCAGCCTGATGTCTGGTAACCTGGACGATGACACCAAAAAAATTGAGAAGGAAATCGTTGAAGATATAGTGGCAATTACTTCAAAAATCATCCTGCAAAAAATTAAGCGCCAAAATAACATCACAGAGGAAGAGGTGTCGGCCACCATCCATGACATTATTCCACAGACACTGGCTGAGCTCATGGAAAGTGAAGATGGCGCCCAACTGAAGTCCAGCTCTTTGGAACATTTAGTCGTCTCAAATGTCACAGAGAGAGTTGAATCTAGTATCGTTACCAAAGAGAAGAGAGGGAAAATATGCAAGATGGTACAAAAGGTGTTGCTCAGCATCTGCAAATCATGCATAGAAAAAAAGGAAAGCAGCCCAGAGCCAAAGGAAGAAACCAAAGAATCCCAACCAGCTGAGAAGAACATGCAGGAACCCACCTTTGAGGATGAAAGCCAGGACAAAGATGAGAAAGAAACAACATATCAGGAAAGCACGACCATTACAGAATCTGATCAGAAATCACCTGCAGAGACTGAGCAGGAAACAGAGACTGAGCAAGAACCAGAAACTGAGCAGGAAACAGAGACCGAGCAGGAACCAGAGACTGAGCTGGAACCAGAGACTAAGCTGGAACCAAACACAGTTACAGAAGAGGCACTAGAAAGGAAAAGAAAGATAAAAAGTCTTATCAAGAAGCTCTTTGGATGCAAAAAGCTGAAGAAGGAAAAAGAGAGTTCCATTGAGGAGACGACATCTCAACCAGAAACCTCAACTGATTGGGAGACTAAAGAAACTTCTGTGTATACTTCTGTCGACCTCGCTCAGCAAGAGGTTACAGATGTTACAACATCAGAAGAAACAGAGACTGAGCAGGAATCAGATTCCTACACAGAAGAGACACCCACAGAGGAAAGAGGATTCAAAGGTTTCATTAAGGAGCTCTGTGGATGCAAAAAGTC